TTAATTTTAAAACTCTTGTAATTACTTTTAAGGCCGGGCCATGGGGTCCATTCACAGTCACATACTGTGATGGCAGGCACCTCAATGAATCTTTAATCAGTATAAGAGCAGCAGTCATGCGACGCCAGGTAATTCCCTTTTAAACTGCTACGGGTAAGGGTGTTTGTTGTTTCCATCGTGTTCCCAAGAGGCTGCTACACAAACCTTTCAAGAAGAGTAGGAGGCATCTTCTACGCTAATTTCACCCTCACACTCCGTCATGCTGATCATCGTGAGACACCATTTCACTTCGTCTAGAAACAGTCACGTTTTAATATCACACTCCTTGTTACTGGTTCTTCTTTTTCCACAGTTCAGATGCTGTCGTGCGTCATGAGTAGCTGTTGTCTCCCCAACATGACGCTAAAGGGAGCGAGGACGTCCTTTTTGGTAAACGGAGAGTGCAAACACACACACAGCCTCGGGCACAAGACATCCTCTGCTATCGGAACACATGTAAATAAACGTTAAGAGGTAATTTCTCGTTTCTTATCATGTAATTCAAATGTTGTCTTCTAAAGAGAAATAATGATTTCCAGCACACACGTATACAAGCCCCCCCCCCCCGGGCAGATGCTGTGTGTGCAGACCAACAGGGAGTTAACCTGGAGCTCCCCCCCACCACCACCACCGCCTCAGCTGGATCTGACTGAGGAAGAAGACGACGGAGGAGGAGAAAAGGAGGAGGCTGAGGTCTTGAAGGTGAAGCTGTGCCTAAAGATAAAGTGCTGAACAGGTTTGGGGGGGGGCACAGCAGGGTTTCCCAAATTTTCTCCCCTGACAGCGATGAGTCTAAACATGAACTGAAGTCTGGTTTAAATTATTTTACTTCACTTTAATTAGAAAGTCATTTCACCGTTGCTGTGGAGACTTCGGGTTGCTGCAACTAAAAATAACAATGCTCAATCAGGAACATATGTGTTAAAGAATTTGAGCTGTAGCTGCAGCACAAAACCGGACCAAACTGGACATTGCTTGGAAAAAAGTAATCGAGGAAGGTGGTGAGAAATCTTTGTACTTTACTGTGCACAAGTTAGTATAGCAAAGCCAAGTCCATTCAGAAAACAAACATTTCAAAAGTTGTTGTCCTGCTGACAGACCCGACAAAGCATGAATTCATATGTTTAACAAATCGGCATCATAAGGTAGTTATTTTGGCATCGTTTTCATTCGTTTATTGCAATTAAATCAGAGCAAAATGTTTACTTTGGTTTCATGCCGCTGTGGTAATCACGGGTTGTGTTTTTTCACATTATCACACTGTGTGTGAACACACTGCAGTAGTCCGGCGATAAAGCTCACACGAGAAAAACAACGAGAAGATTAAATACGCATTTGGTCTGAATGCACAGTTTAGGGGCGGGCAGTGTCGTAAAAAGGCATTAAAATCAGATTTTAATGGATCGAGCAATTACAGAGACCAAAGAGATGATGGAGGATGGTGCAACATACTTTAAGACTGCGGCACCAGTTTGAGCTGTAACCGGTTAAGTCGGACACACACCTTTACAAAAGGGTTTTATGTAAATTTTTACAACAATAACTTTAGTAAAACATAATAACAGCTGGAGGCAGCACATATTAGCACAACGGCATCCTGGCTCTAAATCTACACCAGTCTGCTGCAGAGGATCCATCCACAACCTGGAGGTTATATTAAAAGTAAACTGTTAGTTTGATATTAATATGTAAATTATGTTAGTATATTCATTATAGTTTCATGTAAGAGTACTGTATATATCTTCCCACTATTATAATAATTCCAGTGGAAGTCGTTTCATTTTGCCGTTGTTTTATTCACTAACTTTGTGCAAGAAAAATGCTCTACATGGTAGTAGTTAGTCTCTAACTTTAATTTTAAGTAGCCTACTAATGCGTCAATCATATTTATTGTTTATGAAGGACAATGACTTTTTTTAATGTCGCGCATCATTCAGGCTGTGACTGATCTGTTCACGAAAAGCGACACTGACGAGCACATCGGCTTTATGAACAGTTGAACGTGTTTCAATAAAAGGCACCGATTTAGCTAAATAGACAGCCTTCGTCAGCCAAACCAAAACGCTGCTTATATTTCCCCTGTTGTCTTCTGTCTTACTGCTTCACCTGCTGACGGCGCATCTTGTTTTTGAGTCACGGGGCCGTTCAAGCGGCCACAGAGCTCAGTCCGACTATGTTTTGAACGATTAGCATTGGGGGTCCGGCGTGGTGGAAGAATACGGTCGGTTGTGCTCGCAAATCTGTTTTCTGGTTCGCAGGGATCTACTTTTAGGGCCGTATGACAGTGAAACACTCGCATTGTAGATCCCCGCGCCTAACGTTACACTGAACATTGCACAGCCGCTAAAGTTACGTCCTGCCTATCAAGTGTTTTTGGCTATGCAATATAAATAAATACGTTCACCCACACCTTTAGCAGACAAACTCTTGGGCAGAAAGGATTTTCACATTGAACAATATCTACAAAATTTAATACCTTGTTAAATGGCGATTAAGATTTTTTAATACTTTTTAAAAGCCTTAATTGATTTACCTTTGATTACCTTTTAAGACTTTTTAAGACCCCGCGGACACCCTGGAATTACACTCTGAAATGGTAGGGGCACCAAATCACACACAAAAAACACATCTTACTTAATGTTTTTTAAGACAATTCTTATTTAGGGGCAGCTGTGGCTCAGGAGGTAGAGCGGGTTGCCCGTCAATCTGAAGGTCGGCTCCTCCAGGCTGCATGTCGAACTATCCTTGGGCAAGATACTGAACCCCGAACTGCCCCAGTGTATGTATGGTAGTTTCTGTTTGAAGTGAATGAATGTGTGTGAATGCAGATGTAGTGTAAAAGCACTTTGAGTGGTTGAAAAGACTAGAAAGGCGCTATGCAAGTACAGAGCATTTATATAGCCCAATATTACAAATTTGCCTTGAGGAGCTTTTGCACTCAAGTCTTTAGAACCTCGATTCAGATTTAAAAAAAAAAAACCTTTCAGGGGGGGAAAAAGAGAGACCTCTACCACTACAGCTCCACTGTCAACTCTTAAGTAACGTCACATGAAGGATGAAAGTCACTTTGACAAAAAAAAGTCAAGTTAACTGAATAATAGGATGTATTCTCATTATTATTATTGCAGCGTGGTTCTGCACCAGGACCCGACACTGTGTTGCGTTTGCAGAGCAGCTGTGGGACACAGAGAGCAGCAGACAACCAGAGAAGAAGAACAGATCAGATGAGTCACTCTCTGTCCTGCTGTCCAGCGTCACTCTCAGAAACATTCACTGTACTTTCTGCAGAGACGGTTTGGTGCTTTAATTCCATCAACAAACCACAGAGCGGAGAGCCGAACCACGCCAGCTTCACCGTGTGTTCATCCACCTCCGCCGTGAAACAACCACAGGGAGCTAATTAACTCTGTGTGAGAGCGTTTGGTTCTGTGACACAGACTTCAGTCTGGTCCACCACCGAAAATCACAACAACTTCTGGATGGATTGTCATGAAATTGCATTCAGACAATTTTGTTCCCCGCAGAATGAAACCTCAAGACTTCTGTGCTTCCTTGACTTTTCCTTGCACAGCAGTCAACAGTGAAATATCTTTTCTGCCTTGTTTTATAGCTGAGGTGGAAAAACCTCACTGGGAATAAAAGGCCACCTCTGCATACGTCAGCATACACAACTATACAGGTTTTATAAAATAAAACATTAATCCTCCAGGAAAAAAGTTCACAGAGCAAATGCAATATATTTTAATGACTGAGACTCCTGCTTAAGCCACCATCTACTAACTGACATGGCAGCGTTTATAATTTACAGAGACACAATTAAAACATAGGAGGTGTAACAGCCGCCTATTCTGCCTTCATGAACGGCTTTTAATGTGATGGTGAACATGCTTTGTGTGTGTTGTTGTTTTCCTTCACATGTAAAAAAAAAAAAGAAACCGTTGTATCAGAGGCTTGTGGTGTAAGCTCAGATTGTTTTAAGGACTTTCCTTTATGTATTTTTTTCCTTCTCATTATTGTTTTGCTGCCGGATTTTAAAAGCAGAGTGGGAAGTGACGTTTAGGGGGAACTCTGTGTTTGGTGTCAGGTTTGCCAGACAAACTCAACCTGAGTGTGCTGCCCGACATGGTATAATGCTGATTTATCCCCAATACACGTTAAAACGTTGCTGTTTTGGTGCAAGGTGAATTGTTACAGAGGAAGAAGCATTTCTAAAAAAACCTGATGGTTAAACTACAAAGGGACAACCACCTCCACATGATCCATGCCTAACACGCCTTCAGATCTCAATTTCCTGCATCTCTCCAGCTCGTTTGTAATAAAAGCTTTAAACTTCAGTTCACAGAGTGTATTCTGATCCTGCGACCGACACACACTTTGGACCTGAACTTTTATACATCCTATAATGTCCTTATCTAACAGCGTATCTGGATAATTTTTATGGGTTGCTTTTAAGACATTTGGCTAATAAAGACATAACATTTGGACCTGTCTAACTCCCGCCACACTGCGGTTAGCAGATGTTTTTGCTCCAGGCTCTGAGCTTTGGTTTAGCCGTTTCCTCACGTACAGCTTTCTTTCTTGGGGGAGTAGAGTGTGCACAATAAGTTCCAAGATTTTAAACATCTTCACCAAATATTGTATGCTTGGTATCACAGAAATTTGACTTTTCTTTTCACCTCCATTTTAGGGATGCACCGATCCGATTTCGAAATATTGGCCTGATACTTACTCAAATAGCTGGATCGAGTATCTTTGACAGGGGGGCCAATCTGTTTAATTAAATTATGTGCGCGTACCACGTAATTTAATCGTTCTTAGTGTTGGTTTTGAATCTGAACCAGACAGAGTTAAACAGTTTGTAGTGCTCTATGTTGTTTTGTCTGAAAGGTGCAAACAAACCATCATAATGTAAATAATGTCAGACAGATGTTGTACAGCAGCTGCAGGAGGACACGTATTACCTGGTAATCCAGGATGCTGAAGCCGAGGCCTTTGTCTCTCTCCTTACGCAGCTCTACCACCTGAACATCTGGAGACCACAGAGCCAGCTCCTCATCTTCTTCATCCTGTTCTTCCTCCTCCTCCTCCTCCTCCTCCTCCCCCGCTTGGCTGTGTTGACTCCTCTCCTCCGTCAGCACCTCCTCTTCAGGGTATTCCTGCTCCTGACGCACACAAGTGACAACAGACTCCTAAATTCAGGACAACCAAGTCAAGACAAATTTTATTCAGGTATTAAAACATATACACCATAAAACAACATGAAGACAACACACAAGACAGGACAGAGACAAGTATACACTGCAACATCACTTCACAGCTCAAACTGCACCTGCAGGGATCCTATCCTAATGTCCACACCAACTGCCCCAACGTTTTATTATAACATTATGCTATTTTCTAAAACAATGATGAGATTCTGATATAAAACAAGAAAGTAAAAAAACCTGCAGTAATGAATTTAATGCTTGTCTCGTGTTCAAACAGCTGTTTATTGCAGTCAAATCAACATTTTGCATGTTTTGTAAAAAGATAATGTGATTGTGAATTCCTTAACAAATGCAATATTTTAAATTTACGCTTTTGTTTTTACAATCTAATTCCTAAATGAATCCAAAAACATCACTGTAAGCAATGACTCCGTTATGGTAGATGGTCTGCACTTGTAACGCACCGTTCTAGTGTAGACCACTCAGATCACTTTACACTACATGTCACAATAACACACGATGATGGCAGCCTTCAGGTGCAATTTGGGGTTTACACTACATGTCAAGGGTTCAATATCTTGCCCACGGACACTTTACGAGATGCAGACTGGAGGAGCCGGGTACTGAACCACCGACATTCTGATTAGGAGGGAGGAGCCGACCTCCTGTAATTGCATATATTAAAAAAAGACAGTTTCATTTTCCACTAAAGTAATTTCACTTTCATGACTCGTGTGTGTGTGTGATATCATGCGTGTGCAGGAAAAACACCTGAGACAGAGTGCGACAGGTTACCTGTCTAACTGCCTGCTGAGGTTCAACGCCGCTCTGTCTCACTTCTGTCTGACTGCAGAGCATCGACGACAGCTTCAGCTCGATCTGACAAACACAACACGACACATGAGGTCACATGTGTGGTTCACGTTTACTCTGTGTGTGTGTGCGTGTAGGACAAAGATTCAAGGAGACCCATTATGCTTTTCCTAATTTTATGACTTATCTACAATGTTATAATGTTGGATGTTCATGTTAAACATGACCAAAGCTTCAAATATGAGGTTAAAGCCTTTATAAGAAATCACTGAGCCAAAAACCTCAGATTTCCTCCTGTTCTGAACGCTCTGCTTTCAACGCCTTTTCTACCAACGGCGCCGTTCATCAACACACGGAGCCAGACGGAGCCGCTGTTCCATATATGGTCATGTGCTCCCATAGCAACGGCACAGCAACACTCAGTCTGCCTGTTCCGCCCAGCAACAACAACAGCCTGGTAACGTGCTTCAGGTCTTGGCCAATCAGAAGACACTGGGCTGTGAGGGGGGGGCCTTAAAGAGACAGGAGCATCTACAGCTTGTTTCAGACAGAGGCTGAAATGAAGGCCTACATGAAGAGCCAGTATATAGAAAAAACTTTTTTTTTTTTCTTTGAATCATGCAAAGCTGCCATACAGGAGTCAGAATTACAATACAGGACTGGAAAAGCAGTTTAATAGGTCTCCTTTAAGTTTGATTTTTTATCACTGGAACTGTATCGCGACAATATGACAGTGACGCGTTTTCATTCAACAATCATTTTATGTCAAAATACATACTTAAAAGTTAATTGTAATTTAAAGAAAACCAACTAAATGGAGTTACTGAACTTTTAGGTTCACACACATGTGAAAGCATTTAAGATGGTAAAACTGACAATTAATTGTAATAAACATACATGTGATTATTTCGTATGTGATTTATCTTAGGAAGAATTATCAATAACATTAATACTGTGATATTGAGTGTGTTCCTGGATGCTCTCTCACCTCCTCCACACTGGGTTGAGAGTGTCTTACTGGTCCAGGTCCAGTTCGCAGCAGTGGTTCAGGTTCAGGTTCTGGTTCAGATTCAGATTGTAGTTCCAGGCCAGAGGTCGGGTGTCGGCAGCAGACCAGAGTGAACGGAGGAGGCACTTCTTTTAGGAACGACACCACTTCTCGACGGGACTTACCGTACAGCTGAACATCATTCACCTACAAAACACAAACACACGCACAATTAAATTACAAATATACAGCCTCGTTTTCCAAGATATAGAGCCGCAAACCTCCAAAACGTCCTTCCAGCTCACTCTAACATTAGATCTTTAACTTTCCACTTATTTAACTGAAGGAAGTTGTGGTTCATCTAGAATAAATGTGATTCTGTCTGCGAGGTGTTACGACATGTAGAAAAAAGTAATTTTCAGTCAAAAGTAGCACGGATGACTAAATCAGCTGTCTAGTTACAGTATATGTGCACTCATTGTAGCTTCTTACTGGCAAATAACAACTTGCAATAATCAGAAAAATGATTTCACTACTGGGAAAATTCAGGCGAACGCTCCCTAAAGTTGGAACAACACCTCAGAAAGTCGAAGAAAACTTAGGTAAAGAGGTTGCCAAGTTGTTGACGTCAGACACGTAGAAACATGGCGGACAAGATGGTTGATGGTTAGAAACGTTTTATTAATGGTGCAAAAGCCCGTGTTGCATATAATTTCTTTGCTAACGTCATTTGTAAGACAGTATTAGGTTATAGTGGTTAGTTTGCTGTCCTTGAAGGGCGTGTTTACACTCTGATAATGCTAATCAAACACATATTTGTAGTGGCGTCCATGATTTTTCCACATTATGCAATGCAAAGACGCGTAGAGCCGCGATTTCCTGTTGGGGGGCGGTGCCGGTGAAGCGAAGGCAACGCGAAGGAATTCGTGAGAAATTTGCATGACGCTGAGTCACGATAGCCTATCAACGTTGAGATTATCCGTATGTCACAGAGGCATCAGAGCGTTGTGTGGAGAGCGCCAGGCAGAGCGGGCGATTGAAAATCTGCTGGCCGGCTGAGAGCTGCTAAACTTGGGCTAGAGGAGCAGGGAGCAGCGCTCCAGCTTTTGGACAAATAAACACCCGTAGTAGGACTGGATTATGCTCAGTGATGTTTCTTCACTCGAGCTTCTCAGCAGCTACATTCTGTGCACATTCAGTTCCAGTGTTGTTAGCGTAGTTTGGCACTACTTCATATTTATATAAAAACCGGACAAAACTGGACATTGCTGGGAGAAAAGAAAGCGAGGAGGTTGAACTACCTGGTGAGTTCAGAAAACATGTGTATGGAACTTTATTCCAGCTATCGTACTTTACTGTGACCAAGTTAGCATAGCATAGCCCTGATCGATCCGAACTCCATTCAGAAAACAAACATTTTAAAAGCTGTTGTCCTGCTGACAGACCTGACAAAGCGTGAATTCATGTTTAACAAATCTGCATCATATTGTAGTTATTTTGGCATCAGTTTGATCCGTTTATTGCTATTTAATCACAGCAAAATGTTTACTTTGGGTTCATACAGCCATAGTAATGTCGAGTTGTGTTTATTCGCGTTATCGCGTTGCGTGTGAACACTCAGCAGTTGTCCAGCGATAAAAACCCCGCGAGGAGAGCGCTGCGTGGATTAAATTTGCGTTTGGTCTGAATGCCGCATTATATCAATGTGCTACTAATTTTCACTCACACACTATGCGAGCACGGTAACACTCATCGCTTGGCTCGCTTCCTCTCCTCGTTCTTCACAGAGCATCTACGTGACAGGTGATGTTACAAGCGAGTGTTTGATTGTCCAAGCGGCAGAAAGTGACTGAACGCGAGGAAAATATTCTGGCAGTAAATTTACGGTGTCGGTTACGATGGATCAGCTTCTCAAGATCAAGAAATGTCTGTCTGTTGTTTCCCCCCTGCTGGAAAAGTGAAGCCAGTTTGCGCTAGCTAACATCTCCCCTCCCCTTAAGACTGCGCTACTGAGCAGGAAAACTGGTAAGTAATTGGTAACTGCACATTTTGGAGTGGCCTTTTATTGTGGCCGCCTAAGGCCTTTTATTGTGGCCAGTCTAAGGCACACCTGTGCAATCCCCATGCTGTCTGATCAGCATCTTGATATGCCACACGTGTGAGGTGGATGGTTTATCTCGGCAAAGTGCTCACTAACACATATTTTGACAGATTTGTGAACAATATTTGAGAAAACTTTTTTGTACATAGAGAAAATCTTAGATCTTTGAGTTCAGCTCATGATGAATGGGGGCAAAAACAAAAGTGTTGCCTTTTTAATTTTGTTCAGTATAAGATGATGTGATAAATATCACACGGCCTCAGGGTCAGCCATTCATTAATAGAGATTTTAAAGCAGTAAAGATGATCAGGTTCAACAGCTATAAAGAGTTGGGTCGATGATGTCACCGATGGTAACATACAAAGACCAGAAAGTAGTGGATCAACAATTGAGCCTTGTGGGACTCCACATGGAGTGGTAGCGATAGGTGCACAACAGGGAGCCGCCAAACTGCTAGCTCTGCTTAAAATAACGGTCTGATTTACATGTTCTATGTTGCTTACTGAACAGGTGCAGAAATAGAAATGTAAAAGGAGACAGTAAGCATTGAAGTAGAGCTAGACAATTAATTGAAAAGTAATCAAAACCGAAATTCAGAGCCTCTAACAGACGTAATTTTACCATGTCGGTTATTTATAAATATTTTCCCTACAGTGTGTGTTCATGTACTTTCCCCTTAAAAACATGCTACTACTACTGTGTGTGGGGTCATGTGACTCCGCCCCATCCAGTCCCACTGAGCTTCCAGACCGGAGTCAGGCAGATGGCCAAACAACAGACATCCATTTTATTAACGTGGACGGCGTGACCTACTCTGTACATTTACTGCCAGACTGACAACAACTCGCTTGCTTTTTCTGCCACTTCCTGCCGCTTGCTCTCTCTCCTTTGCTCCACCACTCACTCGTTACGCACCGACACTGCACTCCTTTAAGACCTGACGTTATCTCCTCTGCTCTTATAACAGCAGCTTTCACGTAACTTGAATGCTCTTTGATGAATGAGGAGAGGAAGCTAGCAAAGCGTGTGTTGCGGTGCTCGCACAGTGCGTGGGTGTAAATCAGTAGTTTCGCATTGACATTGATAATTTAGTGAAATTTTTGTAGCAGTGGCGATAGCGGGACTGTGTCACCATAACGTGGACGTCAACATTACCTTATCAATTAACATTTAGATAATCGATTTTTTTAAATCTGTGAATCAAATAAATAAACAGCTTCAATAACTGAGCAAATTTAGAGCACAAACCTTGTCAGTGAACTATGAGGGCAAAAAAACAACATTCAAAAACAGAATAATCGTTCAATAATCGTAATCGAGGTTAAATGTTCAATTAATAGTGATTTTGATTTTAGCCCGACATTGAAGCTCTTTCACAAAAACAATAAATCTACAGTGTTTGAGTTTGTCTACATGTATATTTACCTCCAGGAGCTCATCCTCTGGTCTCAAGACTCCATGTTTGTCCACGGGGCCTCCAGGGACCACCGAGGAGATGTAGTGGTGACCATCAAACGAGTCCAACTCCACACCAAGACGCAGAGTGTGGATGGGCAGCAGCTGAACACATCAGGGAGAAAAGACACAGGACGAAACAAAGAGTTCAGAAGCGTTTCATTTGAGGATGTAGTATGTGATGCTGCTGAACTGTACTGTGCTACGAGGTATTTCTAACATTGGGGCTGTAAAATATATTAGAAACACCTCTCAGTATAATGCAAGTCAGCAGCATCACAAGCTGCAGCCACATTAATCTATTCCGATGCTGTTCTCTGCTTACAACTCAGACAGATCAGCAAACTAAAGCTTCAGCTTAGAGGTCTGATGTTTCCTCAAAGTGTTTCTCACCTTGGAGGATCTTTGCAGCTCTGCATCGTCTTCAATGACAGGATCCAACTTCACCACCTGAGAACACACAAACACAAGGAAGGATGAAAGCAGCATTAAAACCATCAGGATTGAACATCCAACATGGGCAGTATCAGTGAATACGTGTTAGATTGTGTGGTCCCACCAGAACTTGGTACTTTGGTCCCAGAGCCTGCTCCCATTTATCCATCAGTTCTGCATCTGTAGCTGTTCACACACACAAAAATAATTCAAGGAACACTTCAATCACACATCAGATATCGATGAACAAAATAGTTCTCAGTTCACAATCTTTACTGTACATCATAGAATTCGTTGAGAACAAAATGACCAAAATCACCTCCACTTATGAACCTGTTGAGGGCTGGATTCAAAATCCCACCGAATCCCACCACAGTAAAAAGATTTGAAACCACAGGCTGACCCAACCTGCCTGACTTTCATCACAGCAACTCATAACGTGGCTCAGCACTGTGTTCGGCCCCCACGTGCCTGTATGGACTCCAGACAACGTCTGGGCACGCTCCTGATCAGACGACGGATGGTGTCATGGTGGATTGTCCTCCCAGACCTGGACCAGGGCATCAGTGAGCTCCAGGACGTTCTGTGGCGCTACCTGGCGGTGTCGGAGGCACCGACACAGAACGTCCTAAAGGTTCTCAACTGGATTCAGGTCTGGGAACGTGAGGGCCAGTCAATGGCATCAATGCCTTCATCATCCAGGAATCGGCTACAGACCATGATGCTGGGCTTTGTCCTGCACCAGGATTGAGCCCGGGGCCCACTGCACCAGGAGGAACAAAGGGCCCAATGCACCAGCGTAAGGTCTGACAGCAGCTCTGAGGATATGCATCCCCAGACCATCACTGACACACTACCAAACCAGTCATGCTGGATCACGTTGCAGGCAGAACAACGTTCAGCACGGCATCTACAGACTCCCGTCTGTCACATGGGCTCAGTGTGAACCTGCCAGTTCTGGCGTTCTCTGGAGAATGCACAGTGCCAGGCTGTGAGCAAAGATCCCGCAAGAGGACGTCGGGCCCCCACAGAGTCTGTTTGACAGTTTCGTCAGAAACGTGCACACAAGTAGCTCGTTGGAGGTCATTTTGTAGGGCCCTGGCAGTGTCCTCCTCACACAAAGGAGCAGATACCGGTCCTGCTGCTGGGTTAATGCCCCCCCATGGCCCCGTCCAGCTAGCAATTGTCTGCAGCCACCACCTGTTTTTGCTGCACTTTAGCTCAATCAAATCATAAATATGGATATTTGAACATAGCCTAAGCTGTGATAATGATTACCTGGCTGCTGGTGTTTCCTTCATTTCAGGTTTTGTGATTTGGTGCACGTGTGAGTGAAGTGTCTTTTGCATTTGGCCCCCCCCCCCCGGCCAGTACAGTCATGTATTTAGTTTGTTACACATGTGGTAGTACTGCAGTGGAGCTTGAAGAAACCCGGTACTGTAGTTCTGCTGCAGTAAAAACATTTCACTACATCTCTTCTCCAGGCTACGGTCACCTCATTGGAATTCACCAGTTAGAAGCAAAAAAGCTAAATGCCTCAAATGTAAACTGTAAAGTAAGCAACTTTAGCTGTGTGTGTTTAATGTATCTGCACACACAAAATGTGTACCAGCAACAATACCTTATATAATAAATGGGTTTTCCAGAGCAGAGTGACTGCAGCAGTTTGAATATGAAACACTGACGTCGGAGCAGATTACAGACCGACTCTTAGAGGAAAACCTGCTCAACGGTCGTCAGTCTGCTCTCCAACCCTTCAGGCTGATTTCAGGGAGGAAACCAACACTGCTGAGCCAAAGAAAAACACCTCCATGTTCTCACAAATCTCCTCATATGTTGAGGTATTTTGCAGCAGGTCTGGCGGTGTTACAACAGCAGCCTCTGATTAAATTAGCATTGCTAACCTCTGCCTTCACAGGGCAATTAATCTGCAGCGTTTGGCTGAATAAACAGGGTAATACATCGCCACGAGGCTGTCAGACAGCTCGGACACTTTACATCTGTTGGCCAGGAGCAGGCGGGTGGCGTGCTAAGTGTTAGCGTGGCGTTTTGGCCACTTAGCAAAGCTAATGAGGAATAAAAAGAGAGGAAATAATTCAGAGAGGAGTGCTGTTAAGAGGCCTGCGCTGACACGTCTGCAGGAGCTTTCACCGAGAAGGGTTTTCATTGACTCATACTCTTTAAAGTCTTTAAAATTAAGGACAGTGTGATCATGTGCTAATTCCACGAATCCCCATCCTGTTTTATGTAACTGTAGATACACTGTAAGGTTCACTCTTTTTAGGACATGCTTTTTAGTTTTCTAAGTAAATCATTTGAGAAATATTAAGCTCTAACTGTAAAATCAGTCATTTATAACTGTCATTTAATGGATTTGACACTAAAATATAACTGTTTTTGGGGACTTTGGGGTTGATGTTTGTGCCGTGTATTTAATAATGTGTTTTTGTAATTAACTCAGATGCACAGAGCAGTGAAGTTTCTCCACAGGCCATGCAGAATACAGTACAGAATTAGTACAGCGTTGGGATTACAGCTGCAGCAATTAGTTAAGTAATTGATTAAATGATTACATCATGATACTTTGGACTACGCTGGAATGGCGAAGCCGATCGTTTTAATCCTGAGCCTCAACAACTGCCGGCACATCCTGCCATGAAACCTGCTGTGGATATTCCTGCTCCTCAGAGGATAAACCCTTTAGATTGTTACTGACCCCATGAGCTTTCCTCTAGCGCCACCCTCAGGACAAACTTTGCATTGCCTGCTCTGAGATTAAAGTATAGTATGATGTTCCGTATGATCCTGGAGCAAGCAAAACAACAACTGTGGGGAGAATCGAGTACTAAAATTGTGCCATTTTTCTTTTCCAATATCTTGTACAAAACGCATTCTGAATGGTCGAGTGGAGGCATTTCGGATGTTTTGCTGCTACCGCTCCTCTCTTTTCCACCGTCAAACCAGTACATCACAATCAACACCAAAAGATATCACACACGATGTCGGCTTGAGATCGTACGTCAGCATTATAGCTCGGAAATAGCAGCTGTTGTGCAGCTAGTCCTGCGGTGTGAAAAAAAAAACTGGGTCTGGAGTTCTCGTTTTATCAGTCAGGAAGTTTTTACACAGAGCTGAAGTTGGTGTCCTCTCCAAAACAAGTGGAACAGCTGATTACAGCAGGTAATAAAACTCATTAAAAATCATGTTGTCAGCTGATCGGCTGGAGATGTTTAATGACCTGCCAAACTGTTGTGATTGTATGTTTGTGTTGCTTTTTTCTGTGCTGGAGTTATTTAAAGAACTTGATGGCTTTATCCAGTTTGTTATTACATTTCTAACGAACTTTAATCGTGTGTCTTTTCATTATACTCCCACACAAAAAAGCTGTTTTTAATGATCAAGCTTATACACTCACCTAAAGGATCATTAGGAACACCATACTAATACTGTGTTTGACCCCCTTTCGCCTTCAGAACTGCCTTAATTCTACGTGGCATTGATTCAACAAGGTGCTGAAAGCATTCTTTAGAAATGTTGGCCCATATTGATGGATAGCATCTTGCAGTTGATGGAGATTTGTGGGATGCACATCCAGGGCACGAAGCTCCCGTTCCACCACATCCCAAAGATGCTCTATTGGGTTGAGATCTGGTGACTGTGGGGGCCATTTTAGTACAGTGAACTCATTGTCATGTTCAAGAAACCATTTGAAATGATTGGAGCTTTGTGACATGGTGCATTATCCTGCTGGAAGTAGCCATCAGAGGATGGGTACATGGTGGCCATAAAGGGATGGACATGGTCAGAAACAATGCTCAGGTGGGCCGTGGCATTTAAACCATGCCCAATTGGCACTAAGGGGCCTAAAGTGTGCCAAGAAAACATCCCCACACCATTACACCACCACCAGCAGCCTGCACAGTGGTAACAAGGCATGATGGATCCATGTTCTCATTCTGTTTATGCCAAATTCTGACTCTACCATCTGAATGTCTCAACAGAAATCGAGACTCATCAGACCAGCCGACATTTTTCCAGTCTTCAACTGTCCAATTTTGGTGAGCTCTTGCAAATTGTAGCCTCTTTTTCCTATTTGTAGTGGAGATGAGTGGTACCCGGTGGGGTCTTCTGCTGTTGTAGCCCATCCGCCTCAAGGTTGTGCGTGTTGTGGCTTCACAAATGCTTTGCCGCATACCTCGGTTGTAACGAGCGGTTATTTCAGTCAAAGTTGCTCTTCTATCAGCTGAATCGGTCGGCCCATTCTCCTCTGACCTCTAGCATCAACGAGGCATTTTCGCCCACAGGACTGCCGCATACTGGATGTTTTTCCCTTTTCACACCATTCTTTGTAAACCCTAGAAATGGTTGTGCGTGAAAATCCCAGTAACTGAGCAGATTGTGAAATACTCAGACCGGCCCGTCTGGCACCAACAACCTTTCTTTCCCATTCTGACATTCAGTTTGGAGTTCAGGAGATTGTCGTGACCAGGACCACACCCCTAAATGCATTGAAGCAACATGTGATTGGTTGATTAGATAATTGCATTAATGAGAAACTGAACAGGTGTTCCTAATAATCTTTTTAGGTGAGTGTAGTTTTTCATTATTTCATTACTAAATAATGACGCCTGTGCATCGCTTTGGAGGGCGTACAGCCTACAGCCTACGTCAGCTGGTTAATTTGCCTAATCTTCGCAGGTCTTTAGACCGCGGAGGAAACGCACACAACAATCAGCTGAAGGAACCTTTTAGTTCCTTAAAAAGTCAATCCTGGTAGTAAAAGGCTCGGGTAATTTTCATGGAAACGCAGCTTCTGACTGGGATCACACAGTTTGTATTGGTGGTTATTGGTTCCATGTTGGTTGCGTTTTGTAGTTCAACTTCATCAAGACTTTATTTGCTTGTAGTAGTTATTTTTGGCAGTGTGGACCCCCCTGCAGCAGTAAAGACCCCCCAGAGCTTGATTTGTTACAGCATGATCAGTACTTCTTTTCTTTTTTATACCAGAAACACATTTAAAAGCAAGACTGAAGTTTGAACTTTATAAAAGTAGCATTAACTTCACAATCCAGTCAGTTTCTAAGGCGTGTCAAAATTATATTTAAGACTCAAATTCAGATGATTTATGGAGCCTTTTTAAAGAAACCCTGGTATGAGCTCACCCCTTGTTAGCTGTGCTGCGTTTGGGTACGTTGGTTCCAGTTTTGGCGTCGTAAAGTCCAACCCAGATGAGCGAGACTTGACCTCCAACGATCTCCTGAATGACACACGAGATGACTCCCTCTCCACTGACACAAACACACAAACAGCAGAAACATAAGAATATTTCTTCAAATATCTTCCATTTTTCAGTATTCATGACATGAACATCTTCCAGGAGAGACTGTGAAAGCGTTCTCCATCTTCCATTTGTCCGATTCACCCTTAGAGGGTACAGCGTGCTCTGACCTTTGACCTCCTGACTCATCACTACTGCCGGTAATCTATAAAAAATTAATGTTTATTTTCCTGTCAGGCTCTTCATAACTCATCGCGAGTATCTGCAGATAAGAGGGAAACAGAAATGACCAGAATATAAGAAGTTCAAAACTCCAGACTGCAGACTGAACTCAGCTGGTTTCCAGCTCTCTGTGTTTTCTCAGTAATGAAATAAAAAGACGTCTGGAGGAGATAAGAGCCCTGCACTCCTCTGCTTTTTTAAAAATCACTTGTTTCTCTCTGGCCCGGAGGCTGACCAGTGCAGGCTGCCGGCCGATCGCAAGACAAAAAATGACCCTGAACCCGGGGTATTAATCTCTCTGGGCGCTGGTGGAGGAGGCATCGCAGGCTTTCTGTGGGGAGTTTGGGAAAATTACACCGAGTTGTAAACAAATTTGTCATCTTAATCTGGGTGAGAGGACAGAGGCAGAGAGGCTTCAGACAGGAAATAGGGAAGCAGAGCTCTGAGAAGTTTCACACAGAGTTAACTTCTCTCACAGCAGCAGATTATTGCTTTAATATCATGAACTTTGAAAGAAAACCCAGAGAAAGCCATACTACATTTTAGCCTGATATGAAAACTATATGGACAAAAGTATTGGGACACACCTCCACGTTACCCTTACAGGAGCTTAATTTGACAGCCAAAGCCATTAATATGGAGTTGGTCCCCCTTTGCAGCTCTTCTGGGAAGACGTTCTGCAAGATGTTGGAGTTTGTCTGTGGGAATTTTTCCCCCAATTAATCCACAAGAGCATTTGTGTGGTCAGACACTGATGTTGGACGAGAGGAAACTCGTCCAACATCAGTGTCAAACCCAAACTGTACCCACAAAGTTGGAAGCATAGAAGTTTCCTAAATGTCTTGGAAAGCTGAGACATTAATTTTCCCTTCAGGGTGACTGAAGGACTTCTATTCAAACTTTTTAGTCAAGTCAGGTAACTTTCTCCTGGCAGTCGCCAAACCCAGACTCGTCCATGAGACTGCCGGATGGAGAAGCGCGATTCGTCACTCAGCAGAACACTTTTCCACTGCTCCAGAGTCCTGTGGCGTTTGTAATTCACACATCCGACGCTTGCCGTTGGGCGATGTAAGGCTTGCATGCAGCTGCTCGCCCATGGAAAACCCTGTGGTGAAGCTCCCGGCACGCAGTTTTTGTGCTGATGTTAATACCAGAGGAAGTCTGGAACTCGAGACTCTTACTCATTGTGCACTTCAGCGCTCAGCGACCTCGCTCTATAACTTTACGTGGTCTACCACTTCATGGCGGAGTTTGTATGGTTCCTAAGCGCTTCCACTTTGCAATAACACCGCTTACAGCTGATCGTGGAATATCTAGGAGAGATGAAATTTCACAACCTGACTTGTTGCAACGGAGGCATCCTGTTACAGTTCCACACTCGAACTCAGCTCTTTAGATCGAGCCATTCTTTCACAAATGTTTGTAAAGGCAGAAGGTGCTTGATTTTATACACTTGTGGCAACAGGACTGAATGAAAAACCTGACTTCAATGATCAAGAGGTGTTTCCCAATACTTGTGTGAATGAACACCTGTATGAGATTCATCTGTAGTGCGCTTTCTAATGGGACTAAGGATTACCAACCAGGAAAAGGGGGCAAAGGCCCAAAAGCTCCCGGTTTAATGTGGGAATCCCTTTGTGGTAATTTTAGCTGTATGAACCACTAAATCACAAGGCACACAGACTGTCTGCTGTCTTTGTTCCGGTCCGTCCATCTACCTTTGTCCAGGGATCTCTCCAGGGTTCTGGGTTTCTTTCTGACCAGAGTGAGGACGACGGTCTGACCGGTCTTCTTCATCACCTCCAGAACTTCCTGATTGGTCAGACCGTGAAGACTGACGCCGTCCAACTGTTGAGACAGACGAGAGAGAGAGAGAAAGACGGGTAAAACAATTAATAAGGGCAGGAAAGACGAGAAGAGACAACAGGAGATAGACAGGTAAGTCAGGGAGAGCTGTGGACAACTATGGGCTCAGATCAGGTTGGGCTGTAAAGTCTCGAAAACTTAATTTGTCACCATAAGCGGTGGTAGCGTGGGTGCATGGGGGCGGCCGCCCCAGGCCCCGGCTGGTAGGGGGCCCACTACGGGGACTATTAAGTTTAGCTCAGTTGATTGTAGTGGACACGAACAAACAATAACGGTATATGACGATACGCTGGAGAATTCAGCAGCTCTTATCAAATGAAGCACATTTTAAACTCCCTTCCCCCTCGTGCATCATGGGAATTCCAAGGGAGGGGCGTAGGCTGCGCAAGGGTTTATTTACGGCGTCAACTTCCTCTGGAAGCCTCTCTGCCCCACGTTAGCGACTTGTTTTAATTGTCCTTTTTGTGTTTCTACTACATTCTTCAAAGCTCTCCGTGGCTCGCTTTCGTTCCTCGTCTTGACGGGTGCGTCTAGCAGCTACCACAGGGAGCATTTCAGAATAAGCCAGACTTTGCCGACATGTTTAGATTTTGTTGATTTGGTGATTAGTGCTTTTTGTGCTTCTACTATGATTAAGTAGCTACGTAGTAAAAATGTTTCTTATTTGTCTGATTTAACTGTGTTTATTGTTGATATATGATCGGTAGTCTGTAACGGTTCTGTGTCTGACTTCCTGTCCAGTTCATCTGCGCTTTGCTGCCTGACGCTGCGACGCTTCTTGGACGCACTGCAGCGCCTCTGGTGTGAGCACAAACATTTAGTAGAAAGGCTGCTCCGGCAGCAGCGAAGCAGACGGACTCTGTGGACTTTCGGAGGGAGTCTGGGGTCATGTAAACTTGGTTAATATGTCTTTGTAGCAGGTGGGCCCACGATGTAGCTCTGCCCCCACTGTGCTAAGTGTCTAACTCCGCCCCTCTTGGTCACATGTTATATTGAAATGTACAGTGCAGGGTTTCCGCTACATACATTCAGCAGCGGCGGCCTGCCACTGCAAAGTTATCGCCGTCGCTGCTTCAGATTTTTACGAAATGTCATGAAGTCGTAATTATACAACTCTGCGAAGGCTTTTAGTTTGACACGACAGTGAAGACAGGTATGCTGTAGAATCTTTCGGCGACACTACTGGGGGTCAGGAGTACCGTTTTCCTGATGGCCTGCTGAAAAATTGGGCCGACAAACCACATAGTAACGTTTGGTACACCAACCTGTGTGCACACGGTTACGCCTAAGAGCTTTAGCCGGTGTGCTTGTGCCAGATATTAATGAGCTGATGCAAACATTTACAAAAAAGTAGGCAAATACCTTTTGAATGGAATGAAAAGCTGCATAAATACTTTCACTTTCCATTAACGGCGTATTAAAGCCCATTTAGTCTCAGCAGTACTCATGCAGGTCAGATGATCACTGCACTGATTCTGATTCCTAATTGTCATTGTGCAGAGCCTGACTATCTTTTGATAGTTTTCTTTTAATTTTCTGCTTCGTTGCCATTTGTTTTATAGCGATGTCCGACAGTAAATTAATTTAATTGAATGTCGCCGGTGAAACTGATCTTGGCTTTCACTCAGGCTACCAGCTGTTATTTATTCAGCAAACAATAACTTTTCAGATGCGTGATGCACAGGTCTTCCTCTAATATGTAGGCTTTACTACTTCATTAAACACGGGGCTGCTCCTGTGTTTTTGCCTCAGTAATTCTTTGCCTCAGTACTTACCTTCATGTAGATTAAAACAAGTAAAATAACTGTATTAAACAGAAATAGCTAAATATGAGATAATCAACAAGCAAAGTGCATTCAATAACTAGTACACGTTAATAATAACGATACTCAGCAGATAAAACACTATAATAGCAAAAAAAGGTATCTGGCCAACAACAATATTAAAACACAAAGTAACTACTTTGTGTAGTTTGTTTTATTAACCAAGTACTTTTATACTTTTACTTAAAACTTAATTAATTTTTCAAAGTGGGGGTGGTTTTGTTGTGGGATTTTGGACTGCCTCTGCTGCAGAAAAAAAAATCCTAGAGGAAACACTGCAGCAAACACCTGATTAGCAGTCTGACTTTCTAACAGTAAATGACACGTACAAATATCAGGTTTAATTTGTTCAATCAATGAGACAGGAAAAAACATTTCTGAGCAAGTTCTTACAGCGAGCAGTCGGTCGTGGATTCGGACGTTTCCGCTGTGATCTGCTGCGCTGCCTGGGACGACATGTTTCACAAACACACCGACTGCATCTGAAGCGGGGGGGGGGGGGGGGAGAGAGTGTGAGTGAGTTCAGGTTTTATTGGAGCATTTAAAACAGACCTGCAGACTATGAAGAACAACTTATAACAATTTTCCTGTTCTAAGTTTGAACAAAGCGCGGAAAATATAAAAGCCCTCTGCGGTAAAACCTGCGCAGCCGCTTCCGGGTAAAACCCACGCACGCATATCCCAGTAAAACACCCACTTCACTCTAAAACACGCGCATCCCAGTAAAACACCCGCATCCCGGTAAAACCCGCGCAGCATCTTCCCGGCAAAACACTCGCTTCACTCTAAAACACCCGCATCACGGTAAAACACCTGCATCACTCTAAAACACCCGCAGCAGCTTCCCGGTAAAACACTCGCTTCACTCTAAAACACCCGCATCACGGTAAAACCCCCGCATCCTGGTAAAACCCGCGCAGCATCTTCCCGGCAAAACACTCGCTTCACTCTAAAACACCCGCATCCCGGTAAAACACTCGCTTCACTCTAAAACACCCGCAGCAGCTTCCCGGTAAAACACTCGCTTCACTCTAAAACACCCGCATCCTGGTAAAACCCCCTCATCCTGGTAAAACCCGCACAGCAGCTTCCCGGTAAAACACCCGCAGCAGCTTCCCGGCAAAACACTCGCTTCACTCTAAAACCCCCGCATCCTGGTAAAACCCCCTCATCCTGGTAAAACCCCCTCATCCTGGTAAAACCCGCACAGCAGCTTCCCGGCAAAACACTCGCTTCACTCTAAAACACCCGCATCCTGGTAAAACCCCCTCATCCTGGTAAAACCCGCACAGCAGCTTCCCGGTAAAACACCCGCATCACTCTAAAACACCTGCAGCAGCTTCCCGGTAAAACACTCGCTTCACTCTAAAACACCCGCATCCTGGTAAAACCCCCTCATCCTGGTAAAACCCGCACAGCAGCTTCACAGTAAAACACTCGCTTCACTCTAAAACCCCCGCATCACGGTAAAACCCCCTCATCCTGGTAAAACCCGCACAGCAGCTTCCCGGCAAAACACTCGCTTCACTCTAAAACCCCCGCATCCTGGTAAAACCCCCTCATCCTGGTAAAACCCGCACAGCAGCTTCCCGGCAAAACACTCGCTTCACTCTAAAACCCCCTCATCCTGGTAAAACCCGCACAGCAGCTTCCCGGCAAAACACTCGCTTCACTCTAAAACCCCCGCATCCTGGTAAAACCCCCTCATCCTGGTAAAACCCGCACAGCAGCTTCCCGGCAAAACACTCGCTTCACTCTAAAACCCCCGCATCCTGGTAAAACCCCCTCATCCTGGTAAAACCCGCACAGCAGCTTCCCGGTAAAACACCCGCATCACTCTAAAACACCTGCAGCAGCTTCCCGGTAAAACACTCGCTTCACTCTAAAACACCCGCATCCTGGTAAAACCCCCTCATCCTGGTAAAACCCGCACAGCAGCTTCACAGTAAAACACTCGCTTCACTCTAAAACCCCCGCATCACGGTAAAACCCCCTCATCCTGGTAAAACCCGCACAGCAGCTTCCCGGCAAAACACTCGCTTCACTCTAAAACCCCCGCATCCTGGTAAAACCCCCTCATCCTGGTAAAACCCGCACAGCAGCTTCCCGGCAAAACACTCGCTTCACTCTAAAACCCCCTCATCCTGGTAAAACCCCCTCATCCTGGTAAAACCCGCACAGCAGCTTCCCGGTAAAACACCCGCAGCAGCTTCCCGGCAAAACACTCGCTTCACTCTAAAACACCCGCATCACGGTAAAACACCCGCATCACGGTAAAACACCCGCATCACTCTAAAACATCCGCAGCAGCTTCCCGGTAAAACACCCGCTTCACTCTAAAACACCCGCATCACGGTAAAACCCCCGCATCCTGGTAAAACCCGCGCAGCATCTTCCCGGCAAAACACTCGCTTCACTCTAAAACACCCGCATCACGGTAAAACACCTGCATCACTCTAAAACATCCGCAGCAGCTTCCCGGTAAAACACCCGCTTCACTCTAAAACACCCGCATCACGGTAAAACCCCCGCATCCTGGTAAAACCCGCACAGCATCTTCCCGGTAAAACACTCGCTTCACTCTAAAACACCCGCATCACGGTAAAACACCTGCATCACTCTAAAACACCCGCAGCAGCTTCCCGGTAAAACACTCGCTTCACTCTAAAACACCCGCATCACGGTAAAACACCTGCATCACTCTAAAACACCCGCATCACGGTAAAACCCCCGCATCCTGGTAAAACCCGCACAGCAGCTTCCCGGCAAAACACTCGCTTCACTCTAAAACACCCGCATCCTGGTAAAACACCCGCATCCTGGTAAAACACCCGCATCCTGGTAAAACCCCCGCAGCCACTATTTTGAGTTAGAATGAAGAGCTGTGTGCGCCGATTTGGGCTGGTGGTGCTGTTTTCTATGTATTTCTAGCTTGCTGTGTTTGATTTTGCTTTAACTGTTCCTTCCTGTCCTACCTTGGCTGGTCAGGGGGTTGTAGCCAATGATGGAGATGCCGAGGCTCTGGCCATCCTTCTTGCTTAGTGGAACCTCGTGGATCTCATACCCCTCCAGGTTGGGCTGAAACACAAACCATATATTTGAGCTCGGACGGTACCGCCTCAATAGCCGGCAGCACATAAAGCACAAAGCAGAGAGAAAACAAACTCCTTCATCTTCTCCGGCGAGGACGCAGAGAAACAGAAATTCATCTCTGAGATTTTCTCTTAGATGATTCAACAACTTAGTGGACTAAAATGAGAACTCTGTAACGATCATGGCTGCTTACCGTATTGCTGAGTCGACGTTGGGGGGGCAGGTCTGGGGGTTGGGGGGGTAAAGAGGAGACGGGGGCAGAGTTTGGAGGTGGTGGGGGAGGCGGGGCAGTTGACCTCTGACCCCGGGGATCCCTAGCTATCAGCATGGTCACGTGACTCCCGCACGCCTGCAGCACCTTGACGACCTGGTCGCTAGTAAGGCCACTGGTGGGCGTCGCCCCAATGCGAAGGATGTAGTCACCTGTGCGGAGACGTCCGTCCTGATTGGAGGAGCATGAGAGCCAATCAGAGGGAAATATACATCACTTTACAGGAAAAAGTGTCGGTCTTCAAGTTTCAACAACTGTAAATTCTCAAATAGTGGCCCAGAGTCTTTATTTATTTATTGCTGCAGAGAAAACCAGGCTTATATTAGAGACAGGTCTTTACCCTTTTCAATAAATATATGATCGGATTTTATAAATAAGTCTTCCTGTTTTTAACAGAAATACGGTTCTTTCTCTTTAGCAAATTCCAACTGGTTCTACTTTTCCATATTTTCATTCCAATGAAACCAACACAATAAGAGTCTAACTGCGGTTACCCTCAGCTCATTCAGAACTCTCTTCTAACAAAGACAAAGATTTTTTTGGGTGAATTTATGGTGAGTTTAGGGCTTAAACCAGTCATTAAGAAACTCAAATTAATTTTATTACTAAAAAAACATCAATGCTTCATTTAATCCATACAACTATACACACACACACACACACACACACACACACACACACACAACACAGTGTTTCGCGCAGACGACTATTACTGTCACGCTTTGGACATTTGAAGATGACATGATTTGACGGTGCGGCTTGCAAAGTGGAGGAAGAGACAGAAAATAATGAGGGACGAAGAAGACAGGCCACAGAGAAAGACAGAAAGTGTCCAGAGTCAAACTTGATTTATACTCCTGCGCCAGGGCTACATGCTAGGCTACGCACGTAGCCATGCATTTATACTTGTGTGTCGGCGTCTCCTTCGTTCTGCAATTACACCCCCAAACGCTAGTCGGCAGTTGCGCTACAGCGTCCACTGTGTTGACTGTTGCCAGCCGTGCAGGCTAACTTCCGGTTTAGCGCTCCGCTAACGTGAATGGGGGTAAAATTGTAAACGTGCGGCTGGTGTAGCCTTTTCAAATGTTATCGACAGAATGGATCACATTCTGATAGCGAAACGAGTCATTTATAAATATATTGATTCACTGCGCTGGTTTGGCCGCTTATAAAAAGTTACTTCAGAGCACGGTCACTTCCTGTCGGCTCGGAAGCATTGCAAGGCTACCCAGCCTACCTTACGGTCTGAGTCGCCTCAACGTGTAGTTACATTTTTGAGGAGTTGCACGTCACGATAATTATAATGCAGAACAGAGGATGGCAAATAAGTCTGGTATCGGGCCACTTTTTTAAAACCCATTAGATTGCAGGCCAGAATATCGTCAAATGATGATCTAAAATCAATTAGTTTACATGCTCGTAGTTAGCTCAGTCAGTAGCGCGCAGGATTTCCATCGGGAAGGTTTTGCGTTTGATCCCTACACACTGCGAATTTTGTCTTCTCCCTTGTTAAATAAATTGATTATGAAGAAGCCGTTTCAATGCTTCTCATTCAGGGGAATCGATTTTCAGAGATGTGTCAAGCAAACCACACACTGTTTTCAATGTCTTTCAGAACATTTCAAAGTAAAATCTCTCAATTAAACTCATAATAAAGCATTGCTACAAAAAACCTTCTTGCGTTTTTACTTTGTAGGCAGAGTCACTTAAGAGAAAGTGATGTATGCATGTAAGTAACTGTTGCTGGCATGACATCTATTTCAGCAGCAGCTGCTATCAATATATTTATAGCCTATATATTTTTTTGCCGCTATAAAAGTAATCAGGCAGCGTATTGCCAACCACTGCCATCTACCATACCATCATACCCGAATTTAGCTGAATCCAGTTCTTAATGCAGATCAACTCAAACTCGTGTTGTTTTACAAGTCTAGGAATATGCCACAAATTATTCCCTCAGTCACTTGTGGGGAGGAGTGAAACAGAGGTTGTTCGCTCTTATAAATAGCTGGGTATTTGAATTGATGACTCCCTAACTTTTAAGCCACATGTGCTGTACCTTAATTTAAAAAAATCACTCCTTGTGAATTTCTGAATGGGTGAGTAGAGGCTACTGGCTTTAACTGGAGAATGTCCGGTGTTTTTCTACGACTGCTCCTCTCTTTTCCACTGTTTGCAAACCAATAAATCACAACCATCAGTCAGAGAGCCGCACGAGTCTCACGATGTCACCTGAGATCGAACGTCGGTATTAAATGTGTAGCTGGGAAACCGCAGCCCGCGTGCAGCAGTGTGTTTACAGCGAACAGCTGATGGAGTTAAGCGAAATACTGAGTCCAGAGTTGTCGTTTGAATTTTTCATCAATCAGGAGGTTTTTGCACAGAGCTGAAGTCCGTCTCCTCCTCTCAAAAACAAGTGGAACAGCTGTTCCTCCGACGCTCAGGCGACACAGACGTGATGCTACAGCTCTTGTTGGCTGGAAATGTTGTAATAACCTTCCAAACTGTCTGTGTTATAAATGTTGCTCATGGATAGTGGTTTCTAAATAATGATGCCTGTGCATCACTTTGTACAGCGTGCCGGCCTACAGCCTACATTAGCTGGTTAATCTGCCTAATCTCAGCAGGCCTTAAGACCGCTGTGGAAACTCACAATAGTGGGGGTGAAGGAACCTTTTAGTTCCTTCAAAAGAGATCTAGGGACTAAAAAGTCCCCAGTACATTTGGTGGAAAAGCGTCTTGAGTCGTCTGTCTGCACCTGTGCAGCAAGTTGCCCTGGGAAAAGATATTTTTAATACGACTCTCCTGGTTAAATAAAGGTTCTAATAATCTGAAACAACACATTACTGGCTCAAATAACATGTATATTAGATTCTACTCTGCATGGAATAATGTGTGACTTTTCTTTGTTGTGATATCGGCCTCGACGTGCTCTCTAAATATCGGCATCTGCCTTTGAAAAACCCATATCGGTCGACCACTATTTGATCCCACAGAGCTGGAACTAAATTGCAGACTACTACAAACTTTTATGTTCTCCTCCCCCCTTTAACTGAACCTCAAGCACTCATTATTATCCACCCTGCATTTAAGCTTCCTAGTTTTTAGTAGTAGTTGGAGCAGTAGATCACATCCAAGTGTCCAGGTGTGAATCAATTGTCAGAAAAGAATAGAACTTCTTACATAAAACATCACAAGCTTTGTCCTAAAACACAGCTCAAGTCTTTAATGTTCATCCGACCAGAACGAGTCACCAGAGATGGAGACTTTGCTAAAAGGTAAAGCCCTTAAATCATCATCCTGGGAGTAATAAAACATAAAGCGGCCTTAAGTCTCACCTAAATCACATAACAAAGACAGCATTTCCTCTTCAGGGAGACCTTAAACTGACCTGTAGAGCTGCAGCTAATCAAAGTGTACCTGGATGTAACTGAGCTCAGAGATCTTTGACTAAATTCTGATTCACATCAGGCTTTATATTATATTTCCTTTTTTTAATGAGACAATACATTTATATTTGTACCAAACATCAGCAGACCGTCTTTCCTCAAACACTCTTTTTTTTCTCTTTTCTCTTTATTTAAAAATAGTATATTTTCTTTTTTTAAAGAAAAGGCGAGTTAGTTTGTGAAGCATGTTTCACACAAAAAGAAATCAGATCAATATATAGCAAAGCAGGAAATAATTAGTGACTGAAAACAGAGTTGGCCTTTAATTACAGAAAGACACAACTGTTGTTATACAGATGGGTTTAACGCTGTGGAAATTTATTATTGAGACATGGCAGTGTTAATAATAACAGATGTTTTTAACCATTTATTTAACGAAAATAAAACCAAAAACAAGGCTTTACAAAATAAACTGTATTGTCTTTTTGCAAAGCTCACTAAAATAAACTAAAATATAGAGAAAATGTCAGTTTATTTCATAAGGCCGACATGAGCCTGCTATTATGGGTGGATATGACATTTATCTTCCTGTTTTTTTAACTGTCAGCCCCTCGCCTGGCATCATGGCTGCGAAAGGCATGAAATGGCGGCAGACTGAAACTATAAGCATTTTCAAAAACTAAAATAAACAAACCCGCTTTAAAAACTAATTCAAAGTAAACTTAAATTAAAAACAAAAAGTCAAAACGAAAATAAAAACTAATGTGAAATGCATAACTACACTAACCTTGCAGGCAGCCCTTCAAAACATCTCCTCTATAAAATCCAACTGATCCTTTTCCAGATCCAATCAGTTTTAAATTGGTTACAACCGCTGGTCTCAGTTAATTTCCATGAAAATCAACTTGCACTGACTTCCTCAACCTAAATGTCTGGACTGATATCTTTGGCTCTTACTCTAATCAGGCTTCATTGTTTGGACAGAGGATAAAACTGCACTAGTGACACAGCAGCAAGCTAGTAAAAATTTTTTGTTCACAATAACAAATTAAAGAGGTGGTATTCTGCTTTTTGGCTTTTCCCCTCTCCTTTATTTAATTTTTTTATATATATATATATATATATATATATATATATATATATATATATATATATATATATATATATATTTTTTTTTTGTGCATGTAACAGGTTTGCAAAGTGAAAAAGCCCAAAGTGAGTTCCCATCTCCCACAGAAAACTCTGCTCTGAACTGAAAACAGCTCGTTTGTAGTCCAGCCGCTTCCCTTTCAAGCTAAACGCGCCTCATATAACGCTCGCCGAGCGGCGACTCCGACACGCCCTCAGAAACAGCGAGCTGCAGCACACAGCTCTCCTCTCCCTTCCAAACACTAGCTACCCTCCAGGCAGTCAGTGGACAGAAAGTTGTTCCTGTGATGTAGAGACAGAGCTCAGTTAAAACTTTATGGATACAGATTAATAACTCACCGCTCTGAAACTCTCGCTACAGTCCGTGTTGCCGAGCCGGTCGGCAACACGTACGGCTTAACCCGAGCCGTTTACCGGCTTCTCGCTGACTCGCCCTTCTCTGCTTCTGATTGGCTAGTAGTCCTTAACTAGGAACTGAGCATGTGCAACTCCCAACAAAGATCATTTAGGAGACAAAATATCAAGATAGAGATTTTGATATCGTGCTCATCAGCTTATTGTAACTCACCTTGTCAGCCACGCTGTTTGGGATGAGCGTCCTGACCACCACCCCGGTCGTCTTCCCTCCCACGATGCCGAAGCCCAAACCAGATCCATCGTTCACCAGCTCGATTTCCTCCGCGTGACCCCACTGATCCTTCGGACGAGAAGACGCAGACACACGTTAGCGAGGTGTTTGACTGAACCAGTTGTATTTCCCCTGTCGCCCAAAACCAATGTCGAACAGGTTTACTGTTACAATGAATAACTCTGCTAACATTTTCATTTGGTCCTCATGTGTTTTGCAGATGTGTATTTTATAAAATAAAAAAACCACTGAAACAGTTGATCTATAGTCTTTTGATTGGGCGTTGATTTACAAATATTGTAAACGCCTTCACAATGACTGCTCATCTGCTTTTTCCAAATCTGTATAGAAAAGAGACACACTTGGATTGATTTTTAAAAAAAGGACAATAACGTAGGTTTTCTTTAAAGCATGATGATTTTTGTTTAACCTTTATTTACCCAGGAAGATATTTGATTTTGATAGAATCTCTTTTTCAAGAAAGGCAGCAAAACAGCATTTAAAAGTCTCACTGACATTTTATATACACACACACACACATACATGATAATACAATGCATCACATCTACACTTCTCTTTATAGACATCTAGCTTTCCGAGCTGAAGCCAACATTAATGCTAGCTAACTTACTGACGCAAATGTTACTGAAGCTAACGTCACTGAAGCTAATGTTACAGAAGCTAAAGTTACTAAAGCTAACATCGCTGAAGCTAACGTCACTAAAGTTAATTGATGCCAACGTCACTGAAGTTAATTGAAGTTAACGTCACTGATGCTAACATTACGGAAGCTAACGTTGCGGAAGCTAACATCACTGAAGCTAATTTAAATTAACATCACTGAACTCACTGAAGCCAACGTCACTAAAACCAACGTTACTGAAGTTAACTTCAATGATGCTAACATTATAGAAGCTAAAGTTGCGGAAGGTAACGTCACTGAGATTAATTGAAATTAACGTCACTGAAGTCACTTAAGCTAAAGTCACTAACAGAACTGATGCGAACATTACAGAAGCAAATGTTGCGGAAGCTAACATCACTGAAGCTAATTGAAATTAAAGCTAACGTTTCTAAAGCTAAATGAAGCCAATATTACTGTAGATAACTGAAGCCAACGTCACTGCGGCTAACGTTACCGAAGATAACTGATGTTAACGTCATTAAACGTTCATGTTCACCTGTGCCTTCTGCTAGGCTAAAAACTTTGCACTACATTTTGATTTTATTCTTTTTAAATGATCAAATAGGTCTTGATTTTATTTTTCTATTTTTCTTTAATGTAATTTTATGCACTCTTTTATATTATATTTATAAAATGTATTTATGGTACAACATGCTGTTTCTATGAGTCTGCCTTGTGTATAAATTGTGCTATAGAAATAAATTTGTCTTGCCTTATGTTCTTTAATGTTTAATGTTTCTGATTTGTTTGACATTCAAGCCACCTACCACCAAACCTGATGAACGTTAATGGGCTGAAATCATTTGATTCACAGAATCTTGTACAGTTATTGATGGAAGCAGAACAATCTGATCAAATTATTTCTATCAGTAGATCAATGAGTCAAACCAGGATAATTTAAAACCGATTCGTGCATCAATGATTTTAAACACTTCTGATCATTTTATTTTTATTTATATTTTGTGCGCAGGCAGCTCAACCAGTTCTCACATGGTCAAGACCTCTAGCCGTCACTTTGTAACACACTGGGGGAAAGTGTAGTGTCACTTTTGAACCCTAAAGGCAGGTTTAAAATATTTAAAGGTTCAGTGTGTCTTAGGCTTTATTGACAGAAATGCAATATAAAGATGGTGTGTAAAGACCTTACATAATGAACCGTTATGTTTTTATTACCTTAGAATGAGACATTTATATCTACATAACTGCGGGTCCCCCCTTCCATGGACGTCGCCACGTTGCATGTCATGTTTCTACAGTAGCTGAAAACGGACAAACAGCGCTAAAGAGCGCGTTTCATCGCTACGTTCTCTTGTTCTACTTCTGGTAGAATTCAGGCAGTGCAGACACTCATCACTGCGTTAAATACGTACGTTAGAAGAAGTAGTAGTAATATACTGCAGCGGTCGGCAAATAAGTTTTGCATCGGAGCAATATTTTCAACCATTACATGGTGGATGAGAATATAAGGCATACTATTCAGTTAGCTCAGTTGGTGCAAGGTGCAGGACTCTCAATCCAAGGGTTGAGTGTTTGATCCCACCTTGGGCTAACTTTTTTTCTTTTTTTTTTTTCCCCCTCTCTTCAACAAATGGATTCTGCAGCGAATGTTTCTCAGATCACAGCATGTGCTGCACTGTTTTTGTTTCGGTATTTACTGACTCTTTTAATGACGTTCAGAATTTTTCAAAGTAAAAGCTCAGTTCAACTCCAATACTGTATTACAGTAAACAATTATTTATTTTGTAGACAAAACCACTACAGAGGAAGTGATTATGTGAGTAACAGTTGACTGAACTCTATTTCAGCACCCCTATCATACATTTATATTTTTTACCGCTATCAAAGCACCGTAATCTGGCAGCGGGCCAGATATTATTGCTGCCGGGCAGTTTTGGCGAGTGTCCATAATCACAGAGCACGAATGTGTTTCCCTTGTCAGTGTTTGTATAAACTTTATTTAATATGTGGTTTATAATGGACTGTGGTGCAGAAACAGTGACAGTGTTTCCATGTTATCTGTCAGTGGCCAAGTCACAATAACATATGGTTTTAGTGAATAATTCAGTAAATGTAATTTCTTAATAAATCTACCTAAAGAAACCTCATTTCTTGACTGGCCACTCTCTGCTGTCTCAGAAGAGACACCTTTTGTGCTGTTGTCAGCCACCATAGCTGTCCTGCGCTCTTTGAAGAAGCTCTTTAGGGGGCAGTGGTAGACTGGACGGATGGTTGCAATACACAACCCTCGCCATTAGATGCCACTAAATCTCACACAATGAACCTTTAATAATAAAGTTTGAGTAAAGAGCTGGTTGGGGTGGACGGTGGGCCAGAAACCAGACTTCAAGAGACCGGTGTTTGTTTCCCGTGTGAAAAAAAACATTGAATATTTTAAGTTTTCCTAAACTTAACCAAATTGCGACATTTCACAACGTTAAGTAGTTTTATTTTTGAAAGCCTGACTGGAAATTGCACATTTATTATTGCCAACTTGACTGCAGAGCCCGAAAAACTCTAAAAAGCGACGCCAAAGGGTGTTTACCAGGCATCCGTGTGTGACGAGTTGGGCCTGAGAATGTGTTGGGCAGCTCAGCAGCCGCCTCACAGAGCTGCTGGCTATCTGTCCTGAGGTGAAAGTTCATTACTGAAGCTCAGCAGGTAATTACAAGCCGAGAGCACTTCCTCCTCTCCGATACCAGCTGCTGATCAATGAGAGGCTGCAGCGTGCACACACACACACAGGCTGTCTTTATGAAGTGGCTTTAATCACAGGTGGCCCTGGTCTCTTATTACAGCTCTGATCTGATAGGAGGAGGTCTCCCTCTGTCTAATGAAACAAACCTCCTCATGGGCTGATCCCAGGACGCCGGACGAGGCCGTTTGCCTGATAAAGTCGGATCACACTGAATGCGCTTGACGCTTCGCTCTCCAACAAAAGTTCACTCTTTTCACAGGAGAGGATCTGTTACTGCAGGTAGTTTACTACAGTAAAAGGTGTTGGATTTCTTCTGGTTCTGCTCGGCGAGACACAGCTAATGTTTAAATCCCGTTTGAATTGTGTCCTGAATTACACACATGATGTTTGTCAGTTTGAGTCGCACATTGTCGTAAAACTGTCGAAGTACAAGACTGAAAATATGTAACGACAAAAGAACACACACCCAAAAGTCGTGTATGTGAGGGAAGGGATTCTCTATACTACATCACGCTTCATCATCCATCGCAGCTCCACCCAGGCTTCCTTCTCCTTCCTCCTTGAAAATTAGGATTTTCTGGCTCCAGTAACAGACAGCAGAAGTAGGGCTGGGCAATAAAACAATGGTAATTATCGCAATATAATTTTCCTCAACAACAATATAATAAATATTATAATATATTGTCAATAAATATTTGCTTTAATTCATTTGAATCACGGACAAATTAGCACTTAATTTTCTATTAAAATATTTATTTTGTTGGGAAAAAAAAAAGAGGCCTGAAAAAAGATTAACTAATCATATTTGTTGAAAACAGATTTTATCATAATAGTTTTGAATGTTCCACCTCAGATTTGTTAAGTGATCCACTGTTTGGCATCAAGTGTCCTGTCCTTAAAGAAAAGTTTTGACCTTCTGGTTTCTTCAATTTTCACTTAGGGGCAAAAATCGGCCTTTAAACTTGAAAGAAATAATGATTTGACATACATCATGATAATTATCGATATCGAATGATATGAAATGTTTTAATCGTGACAACATTTTTGGCCGTATCGCCCAGCCCACAGCAGAAGTGACCAATAAAGTTAAACTCCAAATATCCTGACCATGCGGCAGACACGGCGAGTCCTGATGCACCACTGAATCGCAACACCAATCTGGTGGCGGACTTTTGTTGCTTAACACCAAACTGGAAATGTGTCCATTTTCTCGATTAATTGATCAGTTGTTAGGTCCAGAGAATGTGTGTTTCCCAAAGTTTAAGGTGACGTTCCTAAAATGTCTTATTTTGTCCACAACCCAAAAATATTCAGTTTATGGTCTTAGAGGAGCAAAGACAATATTCACATTTCAGCGATACGCAGAGATGCGTACTGGGAGAAAAACATTTTTATGTATGACATGTGAGCAGGATGACTGAGAGGACTTCACAGGAACATTTAGAAACTTTATCCAGTTGTTCTTTAGTTCATGTCCTCTTGGTTTTAAAAGGCCCCTTCAGGTTCCCTTAATTGTGCAATCTGTTGGGTTTTTATCTCTGTTCTTTCTGCTTCTCATCATTTTTAGGAGAGCCATAAATTAAGCCTAAACTTAAAGTAAGTAAATCCGCCAACACACCGTCCTAATCAGAGGGTGGGAAAACATTCACTAACAAGACAAAAGCTGTAAAATCATATCTGACTCGCTGA